TTTTGGTAAAAAGGAGCGCTACATTCAGAGGTATATTATTTTATTTGCACAGTTGAAGTTATGTGTTTAATGTTGGCGATCCATTAAAATAATTTAGTAGGTTTGGCTCGCAAGTCACATATACAGTGGGGATCGAAAGTTTGGGCACCCCAGCTAAAAATTTGTATTAATGTGCATAAAGAAGCCAAGGAAAGATGGAAAAATATCCAAAAGGCATCAAATTATAGATTAGACATTCTTATAATTTGTCAACAAAAGTTAGATTTTATTTCCATCATTTACACTTTAAATATAACAGAAAACAAAAAAATGGCGTCTGCAAAAGTTTGGGCACCCTGCAGAATTTATAGCATGCACTGCCCCCTTTGCCAAGCTGAGACCTGCCAGTGTCATGGATTGTTCTCAATCATCGTCTGGGAAGACCAGGTGATGTCAATCTCAAAGGTTTTAAATACCCAGACTCATCTGACCTTGCCCCAACAATCAGCACCATGGGTTCTTCTAAGCAGTTGTCTAGAAAACTGAAACTGAAAATAGTTGACGCTCACAAAGCTGGAGAAGGCTATAAGAAGATAGCAAAGCATTTTCAGATGTCAATATCCTCTGTTCGGAATGTAATTAAGAAATGGCAGTCATCAGGAACAGTGAAAGTTAAAGCAAGATCTGGAAGACCAAGAAAAATATCAGACAGAACAGCTCGCAGGAATTGTGAGAAAAAAAATTCAAAACCCACGTTTGACTGCACGATCCATCCAGAAAGATCTGGCAGACACTGGAGTTGTGGTACACTATTCCACTATAAAGAGATACTTGTGCAAATATGGTCTTCATGGAAGAGTCATCAGAAGAAAACCTCTTCTACGTCCTCAACACAAAAATCATCGTTTGAACTTTGCAAATGAACATATAGACAAGCCTGATGCATTTTGGAAACAAGTTCTGTGGACCGATGAGGTTACAATTAAACTTTTTGGCTGGAATGAGCAAAGGTACGTTTGGAGAAGAAGGGGCACAGAATTTAATGAAAAGAACCTCTGTCCAACTGTTAAGCATGGGGTTGGATCAATCATGCTTTGGGGTTGTGTTGCAGCTAGTGGCACAGGGAACATCTCACGAGTAGAAGGAAAAACGGATTCAATAAAATTTCGGATGGTAACTTGATGCCATCTGTGAAAAAGCTGAAGTTAAAGAGAGGATGGCTTCCACAAATGGATAATGATCCTAAACACAGCTCAAAATCCACGGGGGATCACATCAAGAGGCGTAAACTGAAGGTTTTGCCATGGCCTTCACAATCTCCTGACCTCAACATAATTGAAAATCTATGGATAGACCTTAAAAGAGCAGTGCGTGACAGACAGCCCAGAAATCTCAAAGAACTGGAAGACTTTTGTAAGGAAGAATGGGCAAAGATACCTCAAACAAGAATTGAAAGACTCTTGGCTGGCTACAAAAAGCGTTTACAAGCTGTCATACTTGCCAAAGGGGGCAGTACAAGATATTAACTCTGCAGGGTGCCCAAACTTTTGCAGACGCCATTTTTTTGTTTTCTGTTATTTTTAAAGTGTAAATGATGGAAATAAAATCTAACTTTTGTTGACATATTATAAGAATGTCTAATCTGTAATTTGATGCCTTTTGGAGATTTTTCCATCTTTCCTTGGCTTCTTTATGCACATTAATACAAATTTTTAGCTGGGGTGCCTAAACTTCCGATCCCCACTGTATATATAAGACCCTTTAAGGGGCTAAGCTGTGTAAAAAACCTGGCAGATAACACTGTTCAACAGGTAAAAAGTTTTGGGCATAAAATTAGCTAATCTTACATAATTTTGGGGTGCTGAAAACGAAAATGACCCTAAAAAATGTTGATTGGCTCTAGTTTCCATGATATATTCACCCATCTAATGACGTAAGCCATTCAAAATTATGATGCAACTTCAGCTGCATATTGCGCAATTGATACTGGTGACCAATAGAAAATTGCATGTATACTGAGATGATGCAATATTAGCCTTTAATTGCATCACTTCACTGCATAAAAGCTGCAGTATCTGTAGCTGATTGTAGTTCGACAGCGTCTTTACATTTCGTTTTATGCTTATATAGGCTACTCAGTAATGCCTCGAACTTGTGTGAATAAAGCAGATAATTTCTGCTATATCTGCAGTGAAATAACTTTTATCTCACAAAAAAGGAGGATAACAGGAATGATTAAGAAAGCCTACAACTTGTATTTTGGCTGCAAGATAGGAGACCAGGACAAGAGCTGGGCACCACATATATGCTGCAATTCTTGTGGGACGGCACTGGAGCAATGGTTGAATGGAAAAAAGGCATCTATGCCTTTTGCTGTGCCTATGATTTGGAGAGAGCCAACAGATCATGTTAGTAATTGTTACTTTTGTATGGTGCCTCCAACAAAAGGGCTAAATAAGAAGAAAAAGTTATCTGTGCACTATCCAAATATTCCATCGGCAATACGTCCAGTTCCTCATGGAGAGGGGCTACCAATTCCTAAAGCACCAGAATCCTTCGTGGTTGAGTCAAGTGAGGAAGAACCTGAAGCGTGTAGTCATCAACCGTCAACCTCACATGACCCAGACTTTCTTCCATCCACACCCACTGAACCATACCTCATTACACAAGTGGAATTGAGTGGAATTGTACGTCTTTCTACCATCATCGTCAGAAAGATCTGATCCCATTCTTCGTCCAGGAAGGTGATATTGCTGTATGTAACAATGTTCATGGTTTAATCTCAGCAATCGGCGTATGCTATGATGAGTGGAGGCTGTTCATTGATGCTTCAAAGGCGAGTCTTAAAGCTGTTTTGCTCCATAATGGCAATCAGCTGCCGTCAGTTCCAGTTGCTTACGCAGTTTCAATGAAAGAAACGTATGAAAACTTGAAAGAGCTTTTAAGGTGCATCAACTATGATGAACATCAATGGTCGATTTGTGGTGACCTGAAGGTGATTGCTATCCTACTTGGACTTCAAGGTGGATATACTAAGTACTGCTGCTTCCTCTGTGAGTGGGACAGTCGTGCAAGAGAAATGCACTATGCCAAAAGAGACTGGCCATTACGCCAGTCATTGCAGCCTGGAGAAAAAAATGTTAACTATCCAGCACTTGTAGACAGCAATAAGATCTTATTACCTCCATTACACATCAAGTTGGGATTAATGAAAAACTTTGTTAAGGCAATGGACAAGAATAAAGCAGGTTTCAAGTACCTGATTAGCAAATTTCCAGCACTTAGTGCTGCAAAAATAAATGAAGGAGTCTTTGTTGGGCCACAGATTCGTAAACTTATTCATGGTGATGAGTTTCTTTCTCTGTTGCGTGGAAAGGAAAAGGCTGCCTGGACAGCATTTGTATCAGTGACATCAAATTTTCTTGGAAACAATAAAACACCAGACTACAAGAAAGTGGTAGAAAAACTCATCCAGACTTACAGAAATTTGGGTTGCAACATGTCTCTAAAAATTCATTTTCTACATTCGCATCTGGATTTTTTCCCACCAAACTGTGGAGCAGTGAGTGATGAACACGGAGAGCGCTTCCATCAAGACATTGCAGCTATGGAGAAGATATCAAGGTAAATGGAGCCCATCAATGCTTGCTGACTATTGCTGGACAGTTGTAAGAGATAGCCCTTTCCTCGAATACAAGAGAAAAGCCAAGAGAAGCAAAACCGACACAAACTGAAGACAAAACTAGTGAGAATCCTAAGTATTAAAATGATTCAACTTAGCTTATTGCTATAATTTTTCTTGGTAATCCTATGCAATATATTATGCCATTTAGGCTTTGTTATGTAGTCAATATCACTTGCTTTATATTTGTGGAAAGACATCTATCTATATAATTATTGTGCATTATGTAGTCATTACGCCTATAGTAGAAACAGAAAAACTAGAGCCAATTGACAAATTTCATTGTTATATTTGAACTCAGAATGTGAAATTCATTAAAAAATGAATCCTTTTGTTTCCAAAACTGGCAAAAAATAAAAATTTGTTGAACAGTGTAACCAAAGAGTAAATGAAACGTAAAAATAAAAGAAAAAGAACTGCAGATCCACCCCTTTTCCCTTGCTGTTTTCTGAAAAATTTCTAGGTGTGTAGATTTAAGTGATCAGGTTTTGAAAATAAGCTCCGGGACACACATATTTTTACTCACACCGTAAAATCACACCCATCTTTCAATCTATATTGAAAATATTTAAGCAGTATAAACAATATGTCAGTGTTAACAATACTCATGAGGGTAATCTACCTCATATCAAACAGCAACTGTGGTTATGTCTTGAGTCACCAGAAAGTGTAGAAAATAACTGTCACGGGCAGAAAAACAGGAACGTTCTATTTCTACAATTGTTTAAGATAAGGTGATAGCTTGTATTTCAAATTTAAATCTGTAAAGTAATTTTCAGATATGATACAGCATGCATTTTTTTAATGCAACTAGTGTACATTGGGGTTGATTTACTAAAACTGTAGAGTACAAAATCAGGTGCAGCCTAGCCTGGCAGCCAATCAGCTTCTAACTTCAGCTTGTTCAATTAAGCTTTGCCAGTAAAATCTGGAAGCTGTTTGGTTTCTATACAGAGTTGTAAAAGATTTTGCACTCTCCAGTTTTAGTAAATCAATCCCATTGAGTAAGTATAAAATTTTGGTTTGATATGAGCCTTGAATAAAAGTTGCTTACGAGTGCCGGCCCATGCAATCGCCAAGGGTCGGATACGACTGAATGGATAGATAGATAGATAGATAGATAGATAGATAGATAGATAGATGAGCCTTGAATACAGCGGTTCTTGGGTATAATGCAGTGTTTCTCAACCTTTTTTCAGTCAAGGCACCCTTTAAAATTATGGACAGTCTTGAGGCACTTTTTAAAATTATGGACAGTCTTGAGGCACCCTTTAAAATTATGGCCAGTCCTGAGGCACTCTTTAAAATTATGGACAGTCTTGAGGCACTCTTTAAAATTATGGCCAGTCCTGAGGCACTCTTTAAAATTATGGCCAGTCCTGGGGCACTCTTTAAAATTATGGACAGTCTTGAGGCACTCTTTAAAATTATGGACAGTCCTGAGGCACTCTTTAAAATTATGGACAGTCTTGAGGCACTCTTTAAAATTATGGACAGTCCTGAGGCACTCTTTAAAATTATGGACAGTCCTGAGGCACTCTTTAAAATTATGGACAGTCTTGAGGCACTCTTTAAAATTATGGCCAGTCCTGAGGCACTCTTTAACATTATGGACAGTCCTGAGGCACTCTTTAAAATTATGGACAGTCCTGAGGCACCCCATTCTAAAATGTGAAAGACTACTCTAATAGTTTTATATAACGCAGCAACACCCACACATGTAGGACACCCAACATTAGAGGAGATTTATACCTCTGCACACTGGTACTGACTAGTATTCCAGTGTTTCTCTTCTCCCTCAGTTCCATCACTGAGCTAATTTGACCCCAGCACTGATGGTGAGGAGCAAGGGAGGGTCAAACTAGAATGCTGTGCAGGCAGCTGACATCCTCCTTATCAACTGATGATGTCATTGGTTGTCAGGATGCTAGAGGCTAGAAGGTCATAATGGTGCACAGTGAAAACCTGTGGCTTTGTGTAACTAAAAGGCAGGTTTGTTCTATCCGCTGGCTTGTATTCAAGTTTTGGTCAATTTGTAGACATTTTGCCAAGGCACCCCTGAAGAAACCTCAAGGCACCCTAGAGTGCCTGGGCACCCTGGTTGAGAAGGGCTGGTATAATGAAGTGTGCTGCTTTCACTTACCGTATGTAGATTGAGAACCACCTGACAATTACATTACCTCTCAGTAAAATGCTACATGTAACACATCTATGTACAGCAAGACACTGATCAATCCATTTAATCCTAAATATGTGCTGTTTATTTCAATTCTTTTTTTTCGTACAAAATTTTCATTTTCAGAGACTCCGATGGATATAAATCTCCAAATGGACATAGTAACGAATGTCAATGAATCAAAAAAAAAAAGGTATAACAAAATTAACAAATGCATTTGTTTCATTCCGATGATGTCACATGATGCAGTAGTATAGGCACATGGGAAAATGGATTAACTTTTCAAATTAGTTTGAAAATTCAGATTTGAGCAAATTTGTGATTTAAATTGGATTTGTAATTGCCACAGACAGTCAGTTCAGTTCCACAGCCTAATGCAATTCTTAGGTTTGAAAAATTTGGGGCCACCAAATTTTTCATTATTTATTCCGTTGAGGCTGAAAATATTGAATCCTTCAGAATAGTTTCTTAGACCTTTCTACTGCCTTTGACACAGTTGACCACCCACACCTCCTCAACAAACTGCACTTCCTTGGCCTCCATGACTCTGGTCTTTCCTGGTTCTATTTCTATCTATCTCAGAGCACTTTTAGTGTCACATACAATACCATCTCCTACGCTCCTCTTCCTCTTTCTGTTGGAGTACCCCAAGACTCTGTCCTTTGGCCCCTCCTCTTCTCTCTCTATACCTCTTCCCTGGGCCAGTTGATAATAACCTCTCGTGGCTTCCAATGCCACCTCTATACTGACAACACCCAGATCTATCTCCTCAACTCCTCAACTCACCCCATCAATCTCCTTACGTATCAAAAATTTACTGAGCGACATATCAGTATGGATGTCACACCACTTCCTCAAACTCAATCTTTCTAAAACTGAGCTTGTAATATTTCCTCCTCCCCTATCACCTCCCCGTGACTTTACCATTGAGATCAACGGCACAACCATCGGTCCTTCCACACATGCCAATCTCTTCACTGGATTCTTACTCAACATGTAAAATTCAAAATACTAATCACAACATACAAGGCCATCCACAAACATCGCCCCCAGCTACATCACCAACCCCATCTGCAGATATCACCAAAAATGTCCTCCCCATTTCTCCCAAGACCTCCTGCTCTCCAGTTCCCTTGTTACCTCCTCCCATGTTTGCTTCCAGGACTTCCCAAGAGCCTCTCCAATCCTTTGGAACTCACTGCCCCAGTATGTCTGGTTAGCTGCTACCCTATCCACCTTTAGATGATTCTTGAAAACGCATTTATTCAGGGAAGCGTACCCCACCTCCAACTAAGAACTGTACTTGAGTCACCTTCATCAGATCAACCCCTGCAGCTATTACCTTTGTTACCACCTCCACCTCCCTTTAGATTGTAAGCTCCATAAGCAGTGCCCTTCAATTCCTTCTGTATCTAATTGTATTGTAATTGTACTGCTCCCCTTATATTGTAAAGTGCTGTGTAAAATGCTGGCGCTATATAAATCCTGTATAATAATAATAACAATAATATTGAATCCACTGAAATATCAAAACCAAGAACTAATATAGTTAGGACTCATTTACACTTGCTTCAAAATGTGGCATTTGACATGCTTTTTTGAAGCACTCTGAAAGCCACATAAAGACCCTTTCACTAAATAAAATGGCAAGCTTAAAGTCCTGTTTACACATTGTGTTTGCTTGCTTTGCACTGACTGTTCGGATATTCCTCCAACTGTTGAACATTTAAGGTGTACGACATGGTTGAACATGACAACTTCTGACTGCAATAATGCTACCTAAAGCAGAGTTCCAACCAAAAGTGTAAGGTCCACCGCAGCGAACTGAGCCAGAGGTTCGGACCCCCCTGCTTCCCCTTGCAGCCCTCTGGGACACTGAACAGGTCCTAGAAGACTGTAGCCCATTTGCAAATCACAGCATGCTTCATGCATGAGCAGTAGGAAACTAGCTGTGAAGCCACAAGGCTTCACTGCCGGTCTCCCTCAGTCAAGATGGCGGCACCAGCACCCATTAGCTGATTGAAGAATCGGCTGGGGGTGGCACTACTGAATCCCTGGACAGGTAAGTGCCTTAAAACCTATCTTTCTACCCCTCACCTCACCCCTTCAGTCTCCTCTTGCATTACTAACCTACTAAGTGACATATCGGCATGGATGTCACTCCACTTCCTCAAACTCAATCTTAGTATTTCCCCCAGCCCGTGCCCCCTCCCCTGACTTCTCCATCAAGATCAATAACACAATCATCAGTCCCTCCCCACATACCAGGATACTAGGTGTAATCCTAGACTCCCATCTGTCCTTTCAGCCCCAAATCCAATCGCTGTCCAAATCTTGTAGACTTCACCTCCGCAACATCTCCAAGATATGCCCGTTCCTAACCTCGGAAACTACTAAGCAACTTATTCACTCCCTTGTTATATCTCACCTTGACTATTGTAACTCCCTCCTCATTGGCCGACCTCATCACAGGCTATCCCCTCTTCAGTCTATCATGAATGCTGCTGCCAGACTCATCCACCTTACTAACCGTTCCATATCTGCCACCCCTCTCTGCCAATCCCTCCACTGGCTTCCCATTGCCCAACGGATAAAATTCAAAACATTAACAATAATATATAAAGCCATTTATCATTCTGCCCCAAATTACACCACCAATCTTGTCTCCAAATATCACCCAAACCGTACTCTCCGCTCCCCACATGACTTCCTGCTCTCTTGCTCCCTTGTTTTCCTCCTCCCATGCTCATATCCAGGATTTCCCCAGAGCTTCCCCCATTCTCTGAAACTCTCTACCCCAGTTTATCAGACTATCGCCTACTCTGCTCACTTTTAGGTGATCTTTAAAAACCAATCTCTTCAGGGAAGCCTATCCTGCCATCAGCTAACAATGGAATCTTCCATTCCTTCTACCAGTCCATCCCCCACATTTATTACCTTTTGTACCACTAGCGCCTCCCTCTTAGATTGTAAGCTCCAAGGAGCAGGGCCCTCCTAACCTTCTTATATTGAACTGTATTGTTGCTGTCTCCCATTATATTGTACAGCGTGGAGCAAACTGTTGGCGCTATATAAATCCTGTATAATAATAATAATATTAAAATCAGCAGCTACAGTATTTTAATTTTCCCCTTTCGTCTTTCAGGCCAGCACCTTGAGAGACCTCGGCTCCTCCCCATCTGAGGAAACACCTCCACCCTAAAATAAAAGAGCTCCACTCCCCTCTGACCTCAGTTCAGGTGTTTCCTCCGGTGGGGAGACACGAGGAGGTGCAAGGTGCGGCAGACGACAGGGGGGAGCCGAGGGCCGGATAGCCGGCTGAGAGGCTCGACGTAGCCGGGAGTGAAGGCTGGAGTGTCCGGCTGCATATCCTCCCTGGGCAGGCTGCGGTGCAGTGGGCGCGCACCCCGGGTGACGGGACTGAGCACGCACCTGCTCTTCGCCCCCCGACCCTCTCCGGCGAGGGGGGGCGTCAGGGTGGCTGTGGTGAGATCCGGGAGGATCGGTGGGGAGTTCCGCTCCTTCCCATTCTGGCGGTCAGAGGACTTTGCTGGGCCGGACGTCGGGAGACGGCGGTTTCCAGGTGGAAGGGGTGGGGCTTCGCCCAGGGCTGCGACTTCCGCTTCCGGTCGCGGTCCTCAGACCACGGCGGCGCGAGATTTTAAAAAGGCGGTGCGGTGCACAGTGGCCTGGGGGACAGGCCAGCACCAGGCAACCACCCTCCTGAGCGAGATGTCGGAGGCACCGGGACCAGGAGATGCCAGCACCAGCCAGACACAGGTAAGGCGCCTCAGTGGAGGCCTCCCCTACCTGTTAGCCCCTAGCAGGGAGTGGGGTAGGGCAGGGGGTCTGCGGTAGAGCAGTCCCTTAGGCTCTGCCGGGATGGAGCAGGGGGGGTGGATTGGTGTTAGACTTATCAGGCTTCTCTCCTGCCCCTTTTTGTGTCTTTCAGGGCAAGGCCCGGGCTAAGCTCAAGCACCAGGAGCCCAAGCGGAGATGCCCTTCCTCTAAGGAAATTTTGAAAGAATCTTGGAGAAAGGTTCTTTGTGGCCCATGTATACAGGGGTTAGTGAGGGAGGAGAGGCCGCAACAGGGGGACCTAGCCAGGTCAATGAAGGAGTTGGCTACCACCTTCGACTCCTTCAAGTCCCGCATGGAAAGGTTTGCCCTCCCCCAACCTACACTTTCCCCCCCACGGTAGCCTCAGTAAGTCGCAGGGAACCCCTCGTGACTGGGGAGGAGGAACCAGTGGGGGATTCCCAGTCTGAAGAGGAATCGGCAGGGGAGGGTCCCTCGGAGGAAGGCAAGGGTCCCTCCCGGTACAAATTGACCCTAGAGGAGGTAGATGAGCTCCTGGGGGCTATATACAAAACCCTGGACATTAAGGAGGAGGTTAAGACCTTATCTCTCCATGACCAAATGTATCAAGGGTTGGAGGAGCACAAGCACAGAATATTTCCTGTGCATGACATTTTGGTGGAGACTATT